TTAACTAGACACATGGGCAGATAATCTGATAAACCCATTGAGCGGCATTGTTCTCCCCTTGATGAGTAAAATCGTCTGGCATTAGACAGAGTAAATAACGAAGTAGGGCACATTGCGGTGTAATGCAACTCAATGGATTAACTAGACACATGGGCAGATAATCTGATAAACCCATTGAGCGGCATTGTTCTCCCCTTGATGAGTAAAATCGTCTGGCATTAGACAGAGTAAATAACGAAGTAGGGCACATTGCGGTGTAATGCAACTCAATGGATTAACTAGACACATGGGCAGATAATCTGATAAACCCATTGAGCGGCATTGTTCTCCCCTTGATGAGTAAAATCGTCTGGCATTAGACAGAGTAAATAACGAAGTAGGGCACATTGCGGTGTAATGCAACTCAATGGATTAACTAGACACATGGGCAGATAATCTGATAAACCCATTGAGCGGCATTGTTCTCCCCTTGATGAGTAAAATCGTCTGGCATTAGACAGAGTAAATAACGAAGTAGGGCACATTGCGGTGTAATGCAACTCAATGGATTAACTAGACACATGGGCAGATAATCTGATAAACCCATTGAGCGGCATTGTTCTCCCCTTGATGAGTAAAATCGTCTGGCATTAGACAGAGTAAATAACGAAGTAGGGCACATTGCGGTGTAATGCAACTCAATGGATTAACTAGACACATGGGCAGATAATCTGATAAACCCATTGAGCGGCATTGTTCTCCCCTTGATGAGTAAAATCGTCTGGCATTAGACAGAGTAAATAACGAAGTAGGGCACATTGCGGTGTAATGCAACTCAATGGGTTAACTAGACACATGGGCAGATAATCTGATAAACCCATTGAGCGGCAGTGTTCTCCCCTTGACGAGTAAAATCGTCTGGCATTAGACAGAGCGTAAATAATAAAGTAAGGTGGGGCGCAACAGAGGATATTATACACGGCGGCGCGAAGATATGACTTTTATCTTCGAGTGGTGAAAACAATATTTTATTTTGGTGGAAATAGTGCGGGAGGTGGAAAAAAAATTAGGGGAGGTACAGCAGTGTAGCTGACGACCCCCATGGAAAGTTAGGGCTTAGAACGGGGCAAAGTCAACGACGTGACGTATGCATGTAGTGTACATATGTATGCAGTGTTTTAATGAATTATGACTGTACAACTCATTACAATTACTACAAAGTTTCTTTCAAAACATTGCATTGAAAGGGTACTTGAGACAGAGATGAATGGCCATCACTGTTTTAATTTTACAGAAAAAAATTTCTTACCAATTGTAGACCCTAAGCAATAAAAAAACGTCATTTTTACTTTGATCTTTCATTTAAACTTTCCCAAGTGGAGGTGCATGACTTTTCAGGGGAGGTGCAAAAATTCTCAGGGGAGGTGCAAAACGATCTCAGGCGAGGTGCGCACCTTGCCAGCCCACCTCCCCTCAAAATCAGTCCATACAAACTGAAACGAAAAATTCATTAATAATTCATTAAAACAGTCATTAATAATTCATAAGCTTATTGGCAAATCATGTCAAACATAATATGTCGCGTGCAGTGGCTTTAAACCTGATAAAACACTCCTAATTAGTATTCTTTATATAAGGAATACTAATAAGGCAGTATCTATTGTAGTCGTGTCCTCATTAGTACGCTTTATATAAAGAATACTAATAAAGCAGTTTATCTATTGAATATGTAGTCGTGTTTGAAGCCGTTTAATAAACTCGCAGGTCGTGTTTTATTAGGTCTAAAGCCACTCGCGCTGCGCGTTCGTGGCTTTAAACCTAATAAAACACTCCTGCTCGTTTATTAAACAGTACTTAATTCTGTTCTTTAGATCCGCATTTGGGCACCACCTGATCAAATAAATAATGCTGATTTAGCCTTAAGTAGTGCCAACGTTATTTTAACTTATTATGAAGAATATTTTGGTATTAACTATCCTCTGCCAAAACAAGGTGAGTATCTCGTAGTCAGAAAACTTGAATTTCTTTCGGTTTGTGGGAAAAACCAGGTTTCATGATTGATTTTGTCAAAGATTTTGATCTTAGGGCTACTCCCGATTGATAGATTAATCGATATGGAAATGGCATTTCAGATGGTTTTTAAATTCAGGGCGCGAAATAATGGCCGGTGAACGGGCGATGTACGCCAGCTTTCCCACGCATGATATAACAATATTGTTACAACCTTGTGTCGTTAACCTTGTAACATTCTTGTCATATCATAACTGTATCAGACTTGTTAGAACAACTTTGCTACAAGTCTTATAATGCCATCAAGCTTGTTACAAGTTGTTAACAGCTTGTTCCTAACTTGTTACAACAACTGGGAACAAGCAGTGCGAACACAACTTGTTGACAGCTTGTGAACAGATTTGTAACAACTTGTTTGCAGACCTGGAACAACTTGTGCGTTTTTTTATGTGTGTACATTTGGCACTACATAGCCGCCTACCTCATGCACTGAGAGCAAATTTCTGTAAACGTCGAAACATGTTACCTAAAAGCTGTTCAATATCAAAAATGCTGAACATATTTATAACGTATATCGAAAAACCAAATATCGAACAACCGTTTATTTAAGAAACTCGATATAATTATGAAAATCTGGGCTTACAGAATACAGATCAAAATTGAGCTATTTATAAGCAATTTATATATCTGTGCAAACATCCAAAAAGATTAAAACCTTTATCTTAAGCAGATTTTTTAAACTAACTTCCACAATGCTGAATAAATTTCTTATATCCTGTTCCTGCTATAGACTTGATAGCCATTCCTGATTTTTCTGCTGGTGCTATGGAGAACTGGGGACTAATCACATATCGTCTGACGTCATTACTGAGTGATCCAAAAGAATCATCAACAAGCAACAAACAATGGGTGGAGACTGTTGTTGCACATGAACTGGCTCATCAGGTAATAATATTAGTCAGTAGAGTGTTACTCAAAGCTTTATTTCCTTCAATTTTTGAAAACTATTTTACAAATGTAAGATAATTGATTAATTCGACTGACTGGATCAAATCAAGTACAGGGTGTACGAACCCCCATCAAGGACGTATAGCGAATACATTAGAGAACTTACGATTTTAGGACGGCAACGCGACGACGACGGCCAAAACAAACTCCTTCAAATAAATGGTAGTAAAGATAGTTCGTCGTATATTATCAATCGTATGAATTTGATACAGTTTTAGAAGTTAAAGACATGGGTTTTATGGTTGGGAAGAGTTCTGCTAAGCCCAGTTTGAAGTTGCACTTGTTTAATTGTGGCTTGAAATGCAGCCGTTGTATCAAGACGTGAAAATCTGTGATTTAGCGTTGTAAACAGAGCGAGGACAATGTCTAAATTATTCATATATTGTAATTACTCAATTCTTTTCAATGATCTATTGTATTGGTAGCCGTTGCCGTCCTAAAATCGTAAGGTC